CCCCCAAACTGGATACCGATATCATTCAAATGTGACGAATATTGGCAGTCTATAGGCGTTCGGTTGATTATCTTTATGCGCGGTTTGTTTTACAAACACTGACACCCGAGAAACCGATTGAAAATTTCAATGTTATCGGTTGGAATTTTGATAAATCGTTTTCGAATCCATTTTACGCGGATCAAAAGAAGAAAGGGAGATAGGAAGGGGATTCGTACCGGTCACCGGAAAAAATCGATAAAATTTTTCTTCTCAACGCAACCCCGTTTCGAATCATTTTCATCGAAACTTTTTCATTTCCCGTGTAGAAAAAAAAAAAAAATATTAAAATAAAATACCGGCGGGGTTTGTTTTTTTTTTTTTTTTTTTTTTTTTCGTTCCCCTTCCTCTGTTTCAATTAAGAAGAACCTTTATTGGTAATGTTTGTTATAAAACGCTTTTTTTATTTCGAACGAAACGAAATGCATGGAAATAGCTCTTTGAAATAGAGCGCTGTTTTCAATCCATTGCCCGCTTCATTTTGGCTACACGTTGTTTCATTTTTTCTTTGTTACCCGTTTTATTGTCATCGAATATCTCTATTTGAAATTAAAACAACCGCTTGTTTGGTAATGGATCCCACTTCCCTCTTTTAACGACACGCCATTCCAATTATCTGTTTCCATACCGATGATTGTGCCTTCGTTCGATAAATTAATTTCTCGATTTTTTTTTGAAGAATTTACAACAATAAATGTCGACAATGATTCCTTATCTCTAGTAGAATTTTTACAGACTCTGCGCATAAACGCTATAAACAAGCGAGATAAATTAGTTAGCTGTTTATTATTTTTCACATGGATGTTTATTTCAAAAAAAAAAACTCTCTTATCGAGAAATAAGGTGTATTACAATGTTCCACACTGGAGAGTCTTTTGCTAACTTTTACTCGATCTTTTCTTCGATCCAAGTGTCGATACAATTACTTCTAAAATACGAAACACTAATACGTAATAAAAATATATCGAATATTTTTAACGTTGAGAAATAAGAAAGAATAATTCCAAACATCCATAGAAAAATAAAAAGAAATTAAATTTTATAAATAAAAAATTATTCGTGTTTATATATATTTTTTAAATCAATGCGATCCAATCATTTTATCATCTCGAACGAAGCGAAGAAATTAATTTTTAAATAACGAATCTTTTTTCTTCTTCCTTCATCAAACATATGGTTTTACAATTTTTCTTTCCAATATCATATCCTCCCTATTTTTCGCCAATCGATTCTTTTCCACACAAAAATAATTTGTCAACGTGAACGTAAAACGTAAAAATAAACTCTCGTTCCTCTCAATCCGTATATTATTAATTATAAATTATAAATTATCAAACGCGAATATTTTCCTAACTGACTGTACCGTTTTTTAAACAAAAGAAATGCATCACGTGTCGGAAAAACTCTCGATACACGTCATGTGCATGATGTAAACAACCTCGATACGGAAAATTTCTTTCCCAGAAGAGAAGGAAAACATATCGTCCGATACGTGTACGCGATAAGACGGGCCAAATGGCCGGCTCTAATCTTATCATAAAGCGCACAACCGATACTCACTTTAATAAAACAAAATCACGCGTTTCATCTTTTTTCAATTCGCAATAATAATAATAATAATATTAATAATCGGAATCGGAAAAGTAATTCGACGAGTAGGGCGTAAACAGATTAATCGAATCCGTCTCGAATAAATACACGATACACGGCCTATTCACCGTCAATAGCTCGACGAAATGTTTCGAGTAACGATAATTCCTTGCCTCTTGTTCGCCGCGTCTCTAGTCAACTGCGTGGACGTGAACTGGTACAAAAATGCTCTCGTGTATCAAATCTATCCGAGGAGTTTCCAAGACAGCAACGGGGACGGTATAGGCGATTTGAACGGGATCACGTCACGGTTAGATCACGTAGCTGACATAGGAGCCCAGGCGCTCTGGTTGTCGCCCATCTACAAGAGTCCCCAGGTCGATTTCGGTTACGACATCTCCAACTTCACGGACATCGACCCGGTTTACGGCACTTTGGCAGATTTCGACAGGCTCGTGAAAAAGGCGAAATCGCTCGGTTTGAAGGTGATCCTCGACTTCGTGCCCAATCACAGTTCCTACGAGCATCCGTGGTTCAAGAAGAGCGTCCAAAGGATCAAACCGTACGACGAGTACTACGTATGGCGGGACGCGAGGATCGTGAACGGGACCAGGCAGCCGCCCAACAACTGGCTGAGCGTGTTCTGGAACTCGGCGTGGGAATGGAACGACGTTCGACAGCAATACTACCTGCACCAGTTCGCGACCGGCCAGCCGGATCTCAATTACAGGAGCCCCGCGTTGGATAGGGAGATGAAGAACGTGTTGACGTTCTGGTTGGATAGGGGGGTGGACGGTTTCCGGATCGACGCCATCAATCACATGTTCGAGGACGCGAGGATGTTGGACGAGCCGAGCGCCAACAGGACCGACCTGTCCAAGAACGATTACGAAAGTTTGGTGCACCTGTACACGAGGGATCAAGACGAGACGTACGAAGTGTTGAAAAGCTGGAGAAACCTCATGGACGAGCACTCGAATCGCACCAACTCCGACCCGAGGATGATCCTCACGGAGGCGTACGCGGATTTCGATTTAACGATCAAGTATTACAAGTCCGGATCCACGGTCCCTTTCAACTTCATGTTCATCACGGACCTCAACAACCAGTCGACCGCCTCCGACTTCAAACAGCTGATCGACAAATGGGTGGGCAACGTGCCTGAGGGGAGCGTGACCAATTGGGTCTCGGGCAATCACGACAATCACCGCGTCGCCTCGAGATTCGGCAGGCAACGGGCTGACGAGATCATAATGCTGACGTTGACTTTGCCCGGCATAGGGGTTGTTTACAATGGGGACGAGATCGGGATGGAGGACAGGTCGTTCACGTACGAGGAGACCGTGGACCCGGCCGGTTGCAACGCAGGCCCCGCCCAATATTACTTGAAATCCAGGGATCCCGAGAGGACGCCCTATCAATGGGACAACAGCACGAGCGCTGGATTCTCCAACGGAAAGAAAACCTGGCTACCCGTTAACGACAATTACAAGTCTTTGAATCTTGCCGCTCAGAAGAAGGAATATTATTCCCATTACGTGGCGTTCAAGTCCATGTCGTATCTGAAGCAGCAGCCAGTGATCGCGAACGGGAGCTTGGAGGTGAACGTGATCGATGGAAGGGTTCTGAGCGTGAAACGGCAATTGGGAAACGATACCGTGATAGTTATGATGAATTTCTCCAACCATCCTGCCACTGTAAACATCACCAAGCTACATCCGCCTGGCAATCTCGTCGTTTACGCGAACAACGTCGTCGGCTCCAGTCTTAGCCACGGTAACTGGATCTATCCGGCCTCGATGACTATCCCCGCATTTAACTCAGCTATATTCACCAATTACGACTTGTATTGGCAATATTGGAAAGATGTAGATTGGTTGTAAATTGGGAGACGATTTTTTTTTTT